TTCAATTTGATGCAACTAAAAGATTGCGTACTGCAAAATAATGGACATCTTTCTAGTTTTCCTTGTGGGCTGCACAGAAAAACAAACATAAAACACAACCGGTGTAGTTGATTTATGAACAAATGACCCTTAAGAGTTCATTATTTTAAGCCAAAATGAACATGATAACTGAAATATACCCAAATGAATCGGAATCATTTGAAATCAGCATAAAAATTGTATCGATAGATTGAGAATCTTAATAAATCAACGACAATGACAGGTTGCAGAATGTGCCTTTTTATAACGTAATAGTGTGGCTAAACGCCGCCTCCGCAGAAGAAGATCAACGCCTCTCTGGTGAAGTAGAGCATTTATCTGTGGCAGTGAAAACTCTTTCTTTCCATCCCATTAATTTCCAAAATCTGCACAAATGTGGTTTTCCTTGGGCAAACGGCAGCTGCATTACTGTTTACTTCACATATGATGCAGTGTGTGTGGCTCAAATTTAAGAGGCCATGTGTCTTTTCAAAAGTAAACATTAAAAATCATTTAACAATTTTAACACTGCCAAATTTAATGGTGACAACTGCGGGGTTTCTGAGAAATTGTAGACAAGTTGTGAATGTGAGTTTGTTCAATTTGATGCAACTAAAAGATTGCGTACTGCAAAATAATGGACATCTTTCTAGTTTTCCTTGTGGGCTGCACAGAAAAACAAACATAAAACACAACCGGTGTAGTCTGATTTATGAACAAATGACCCTTAAGAGTTAATTATTTTAAGCCAAAATGAACATGATAACTGAAATATATCCAAATGAATCGGAATCATTTGAAATCAGCATAAAAATTGTATCGATAGATTGAGAATCTTAATAAATCAACGACAATGACAGGTTGCAGAATGTGCCTTTTTATAACGTAATAGTGTGGCTAAACGCCGCCTCCGCAGAAGAAGATCAACGCCTGCTTCTACATCACTGCCTGTTTAGCCCCACCCACCGATTCACGCACGTAGTGTAAATAACGAGAGTGACAAACGCAGGTCTACGCAGAAACCAAACAATAAAGGTGACTGCAGAAAACAAGACACTGTTCAGTGCCAAGTTGTGGAAAAATTCAAGTCTTTGCATTGCCTTCCTTCTGATCCCAACGTAAGTTCCAGACCGCATCAGTAAGAACTTGGTCCTTTGCTTACTTCATTTTTACCAAGGATTCATTTACAAACAAGGTACAATTCGACGCAGAGATTTTAGAAAGATTTAAACTAAAAGATTATGCTATATATTAGATCTGATGTCGCACCACACAAGTGCGATTAACTTTTTTTATTACGAAGATCAACGCCTGCTTCTACATCACTGCCTGTTTAGCCCCACCCACCGATTCACGCACGTAGTGTAAATAACGAGAGTGACAAACGCAGGTCTACGCAGAAACCAAACAATAAAGGTGACTGCAGAAAACAAGACACTGTTCAGTGCCAAGTTGTGGAAAAATTCAAGTCTTTGCATTGCCTTCCTTCTGATCCCAACGTAAGTTCCAGACCGCGTCAGTAAGAACTTGGTCCTTTGCTTATTTCATTTTTACCAAGGATTCATTTACAAACAAGGTACAATTCGACGCAGAGATTTCAGAAAGATTTAAACTAAAAGATTATGCTATATATTAGATCTGATGTCGCACCACACAAGTGCGATTAACTTTTTTTATTATGTGGTCACTATTGCTTTTTTATGCATTTTTAACCTAAATCACATCATCTGTGCAACTGTGAAGGATGTAGGCTGTCAAACATACACAACTTGTTAGCCAATCATAGAAGTGGGTGTTTACTTCTGAGACTACAACCCTAAATTATGATGTTTTTTGATGTAAAAGTCTTGTTAACATTATAAGTGGACCTCAGAGAACAGCATACAATAATAAAAAGAGGCAGTTCATGACCCCTTCAAAAACAAAAACTTGTTCTAGCAATAGAGCAAAGTCAATTATACTTTCCCTTGCACTCATACACCACCCATGATAAAATGCATTTCTTTAATGAAGCTGAAAATTTGACATTATATAATATATACATATTGTGTATCGGTTTGTTAATTTGCACCATACTTGAAGAATTCAGATTAACCAGGTTGGCTAACGCACCTGTTTTATAGACACATTTTTTGTGTGGCTTGCTTCTAAAGGGCTTATTCACTCTGTCTTGCAAATGTCAATCTGTCCACATTGTCCATACAGATTCTTATAATAGGACTATATATCTTTTCTAATGAGAGAGAACGAGGGAGATTAAACAGGCTGTAATCTCTCTTCGTCTTTCTCTCGCTCTCAGGTCAGGACAGTTTGATGGATGGAGCAGGTCATCTCTCAGGCGCTGACAGTGATAGCCTGTGTCAGCCCTCAGATAGTGACATGGCTCAATTGCTCTCGTTCCCTCCTCTTGTCATTCTCCTGCTCTTTTAGTATTATCATTACTGTACTGTGGACAGATGGGGTGGAGTTGCCTTAGAAAGAGGTTTGGATTGCTCTGTATGTCTTTGCTGGCATGAAATAGTGTCCCACCGGTACTGTCAATGAGTGTAATCATCCATATCCCCCGGTGGAGTCTGCGTGACTTGGCTTCTCACTCACAGGCCTGCTGGGAAAACCAGGTCATACAGCATAAGGTGGTCAAGCTGGTTTTTGGAACATGGTATATAGTTTTCTTGCTGGTTCAAGATGGTCTACCAGCCTAGCCAGGTCTTCACCAGCTGGTAGTGCAGCTGGTCAACCACCTAAACCAGCTTGAACCAACAAATGACCAGCTAACCAGCTGCTGATACTACACAAAGCTGGTTATAGCTGGATGTTTGTTACAAAAAGCAGCAACATTACCATGATGCTTCAGATTAACAAAACACATTTGAAAAATGGCTGTGCAATGGAAAACATGCTAGGTTTTGACACGTTTTTTTTTCAAGTTGGATTTAACCTAAATGCTGCATTTTTGCATGAAATTATGTAAAAGACAAGACGCAAGCAGTCAAACTCATCTTGTCACAAGTTTACATAGAAAAACAGTGCAGCAGAATACAAAATGCGTTCAGTGTGAACGGCACTGCAAATATTTTTTCTTATGGTTATTATGAATGACTTTTTAACATACCTTTGTTTATTTTATCAAATTTCAAATGGCTTTTATGTGTAGATTTTCTTGTTTTACCCATGTCAAGACTTTTAATCTTTAAACATTTTAAACTATGATTGTTTTTAAAAAAACTGGAAAAAACTCAATATATATTTTGATTTAAATTAAAAAAAAAAAAAAATCATTTCCACAGTAATTTCCACTGCAGTTTTGGCCCTAGTAAAGTTTTTAGGGTACTTGGTTAATATGAAGTCTCAGTGAAGAGAATGACTGAGGTGAAATATGAATTGTGAAATAAAACCATTGTAAATATCACTTGTGAATCTAACATTTATATTATGCATGATTTCCAATGAAGCTATAGTTTTTAAAAAATATGCAAAAAAAATTGAAACTTTTATTAAATTGTGTGTATTTAGGAAACATAAAATTTTAGCTTTAACAAGACAAAAGGTCTTGGCCATTTTATTTCAAAATAAAAAATTCCAATACATAATTTCATATAAATAGAACTGTCATGTGATCCATGTACAATACATTCAATGTTGAACAATGTTCACTGACAGATTAAAGTAGGGAATTTCTTTGTTTGGAAAAAAAAGAGTTAAAGAAACACCAATACATCATGACACTGAATGATCATATTAATTTAACATGGCACATACTATATGATACCAAAAAAAAAGAAAAAAGAAAAACATGGCATTGGCTCAGTACTTTTTTTAAGTGAGGTTAAGGATACAAGATCCTTGTGGCTCCATATGGATGAGTGCATGCCTTCAGAGACCCCTCTGTGAAGTGTCTGCACGGAGAGCTAATTGTTGACATTGGGTAATTGTGCCCTGAAGGTCTGTCGTGTTTTATTTAGTTTTGTGATGAGCAACCACGGCAGGCCCCTCAGGCTGCGCAGAGCAGAATGGAGACAAATAGCAAAAGAGAGACGGAGAAAGACAACGTAGGGATAATTCCTTAAACTTTTATTGCTTCGGTGGCACCACGATCAACTCAGCAAGAGTTTAATGTAATTATCCAGTGAGCGTAATGTTAACACACTCATCGACTTTTTGTTTGTTTGTAAGACATCTGCGTGGCAGTGCCACTGACCCCATGACAGAGCTCAATCTCTCCTTCCGTATCCGTCGTTCGCTTCTCAAAATTCATCCGCCTTGTTTATGTATTCATTTATTCATGCCCGTGTAGTGAGATGTTAGCCGCCGTTGGCCTGTAGGTAAAGCTCGTAAATTTCTTGCCATTGATTTGTAGTAGATATGGATTTCCTATCTCTCTCTCTCAAGTGGTGAGGTGAAATAAGCTTTGTTTGGTGGGCCGGCCTTGAGTAAATCTGCCTGTGACATTTTGATAGCTGAGATGTACTGGTAAAAAAGCAGATATCATTAGAGAGGGGGCCGGATTAAAAGCTGTCACTCAAACGCTCCGTTATCAAACCAAACGAGAGCATCGCGCTCAGAACGGATGCGCGAAGAGAAGCTCAGTTATCTGCACAGATAACTTGAAGACAAAGAGAAACAGCGAGGGACGGACTCGTGGGCTAGTCAGTCCGAGAGTCTTTCAGTAAACAGCGAGTCGTAAATATTTCAGCCGTCACGGCAAAGTGTCGACAGCTGTTCCCATCTGCATGTTAATGAAGGCAGAGGCGAGGGACCCCGGCTCAATGGGTCCCTTCAGCTCCCACACTCTCTCTCACGCACACACACACACTCCCACACCCAAACTCTCTCTCTCTCTCTCGAGGTCCACCACGGCTCTCTATCACTGGATGGGCATTGTACCCCCAGAGCACCCTCAGTCCCACGTACCTACAAACACACTCGTGCGCTTGTTTCTCTAGAGCAGCCGTGAGGTCAGTAGGCTATAGAGACAGAGAGAAAGAGAGACACAAAGAATGGAATGGATCACAGGTGTGGTTGAGTATGAGGTCAAGTCAAGGTGAGTTAAAGATACACAACATTCCTTATTACACTCAAAAATATAAATTTTTTAAAAAGATTTATGTATTTGAAATGCATATACAATTTGGATTACACATTCTAACATAAATGTTATGCATATTTGTCAGTCATACTTAAATTAAACAGGTAAGATTTCTGTAATAAAAAAACTGAATGTGTTTTAAATAAAAACAATTATATATATTTATCATCAATAAATTATTTTGTTTTCAAACTCATGCATTTTAACTAATTAAACATTGCTTCATCCACAGCTAGCCATTTCTGAACTATGTTTGGTCATGCTAACTGAATAAATTTAATAGTTTTAATCCATTTAATCGAACAGGTCTATGCTATATTTAAGCATTTAAATGAATGCATCTTGAAAATATGAGCATTTAAATGAAATTAAATACATGCAAATATTTATTAATAATATATGCTATGATTGCAGAAATCTTACATGTTTCTTAGCTGGAAGAGGAAATGTTATTTTGAATTTATTTTAGTTACTGAAATGTGGAAAAATAAATAAATAAATATTTGAACCTCCTTGAACGTAGATGGCAGTAAATTCCATCCCATAACATGCATTCTTATTTGTTCTTATTTAAATTTTTTCTTCTAAACATAAAAATGTGTTTAAAAGTTTTTGAAGAAATAATATAATATAATATAATATAATATAATATAATATAATATAATATAATATAATATAATATAATATAATATAATATAATATAATATAATATAATATAATATAATATAATATAATATAATATAATATAATATAATATAATATAATATAATATAATATAATATAATATAATATAATATAATATAATATAATATAATATAATATAATATAATATAATATAATATAATATAATATAATATAATATAATATAATATAATATAATATAATATAATATAATATAATATAATATAATATAATATAATATAATATAATATAATATAATATAATATAATATAATATAATATAATATAATATAATATAATATAATATAATA